CATAAACTTTGTAACAGAAACCGGAAGGCTCAGCGGGGTGCAGGATCAATTGAAATGGCATCATAGTCGAGCTGAGAGATAATATTTGAAGCAAACGTAGGCGTCGGGCAACTGATATACTGGGAATCCCAAGGGTTTGACTCAAATTTCAGCCCCATGAAGCCGTACTTCTGGGATAAACCGACCAGTTCCCAGGACTACGCAAGTCCCTCCACCTTTCCCTGCACATACGATCTTCGCTCTTTATACCCACTATCTTTCCCATCTATAATATCTTCTTCCTCCAGCTTATCCAGAAAATCCAACACCCAATCCTGACAATTCCACCCATGGATATCACTGCGAACCGGAAGCTCACTAGCGACCGCCTTTAGCCTGCTAGTCTTGGTGTCTTTCACACCAAAGAGGAAGACAAGTTCATAGAACCCGCTCAGACATCGAGCATCTCCGTATTCAGGTTCATAGCGGAATCGACCATCGGAACCTCGGGCCTGAAGCATGATTTTTTCGGATGCATGAGGTTCGTCAATAAAGATAGCCCAGTGTTTGAAGACGCCTTCGTCGGTGATTATGGCGACGTGGACTCCGACCATTGTGGTTTGATTCGGATCGGTCTTTGGGATGAGGGGGTGTTGACTAGGGACGTTTTCTTCTGGGCTGATAGATTGCAATAGGATAACCCTAGCATGGGTTGTGTTAAAATAGTATTTTTTAGAGACAACTTGAACGAACGGACGAGTGCGTCTGTTTGGAGATGATATGAGGAGTTGATACTACTACTACTACTAGTAGTATGGAATGACTCGGGCCGCTGATTCATTGTGCTACGACTAGAGCGCCTGACCAATCAGTGAATATCATATTGAGAATATTAATTATGCCGAAGAGTTCCTTCACCGGATGAATCAGCGTGAGGCACTCAGGCTCCAGAGAGGAAGTACTAAGTATTAACCCCCCCCCCCAATCCCCCACCTCTTTCCCCCTCTTTTCATTCCTTATCCCTCACCAGTACTAGTACTTCACTTCCCATGCATCGCCATGTCCCCAGCGAGATGCCAGGCTTTGAGTGCATCTCATGTTCCTGCATCTCCTCATGGTGAAAAGATACAGAAACTGCGGTAGTGGACATAATTTCAAAGTGAAACTTTGAAACACACCTTTATGTCGTATCGTGCCTGTTCAGGTTTCATGAGGACAAGGAAAGCCAAGGGAACCTCTAGTCCTTTCGGCATAGTACCTAATCCGTATGTAGCAATAGTCTGAGGTGAGAAATGGAAACTCTGCACCAGAAGCTAGAAAGTGTACACTCGCAGTATCAGGAACAGAACACGGTAGATTCAAGGACATCGTCGATCTGGTTCGATACTTCTATTGCTCTCCCTTATTTCTAAATACGTATGTATATTCACTCGACACTATGCGTTCTGGAAATGTACGGACAAGCCGCCTTTTTGTTCTCATCATCACTGGCGGCGCGAGATTCCTCCGTGACGGTGATATGTGTTGTCCGAATGATCCCCCCTGCTTCGAGAATACCCTCGTGTAGGTATTCCATTGACTCGGTCCCCTTTTGCTTTTCCCTTCTAATGTTGTTACTCATCATGTAGGAGGCGCCACCATAGGCTGACACCCCAGTTCCATAGTTCTCCGAGTATCCACTAGGCTTAGTGGCCGTAGCCTTCATACCCAAGACTCTTTTGATTCTGCGGATGGCGCCGGTCTCCTTGATAATCTTGGGAATGCAGGGCAAACAGAAAATGAAAAACCCGCAAGTCATCTCCGCCATGGAGCAGAGAACTAGAGGAGCCAGACTGTACAGCGGGTCGTCTGCATTAGCATGTATCACCGTCGTGTCTAGTCTAAGTGCTGCGGAAGCACACGCCCTGTAGTGTCCTTGATGGTTAGGTTGGGGAGGTAAATGCAGGGTGGAGGGAGGGCCGTGAACGTACAGCACACCGAGACTAAAGACGAACGAAACGCCCAACCTCTTCCTCCACGTCATTTTCAACGTCCAAATAACAGGCTGTGGCAACAGCAGCATGATCGCGTCGCATGTCAGATGCACGCTGGCTGATACGATTTGGATCTTGTACAGGTCGACACATTTTCCCGGGACAGTGAGGTCATAGATGGCTTTGTGAGGGATGCACTGGAGATTCAAGGCAAGCATTATACCGATGCCCGCGATGACCTGGATACAAATTGTGACCATGCATCCCCACCAGAAGGCGGTTCGGGATCTCAAGCCCTGAGGGGCTAGTAGTCGACACCACTCCACAAGAATGGCTATCTTCAGGAGCGGAAGGACAAATGAGTAACAGACGCTGAAGACAAAGACATACTATGTACGGGTCAGATGCTGAACTCTGGGGACCCCAGGGCTGGAGCCACCTACATAGTTGGTAAGTATAAAATCGCGACGACGGACATCCCATTGGTGTACGAAATAACCTGGCGTCTCGACCATGGCAAATGCTGTGTAGCCAGACCCCCAGTAACACCCCTGAAGGTTGTGTTATCAGAGTCTCGCTTCATTATTTTTTGGTCATAGGGGACAAACATATGCAAGCACGACCAGGACTGTGGTGAAAACAGCGTCAGCATCTAGATACGAAGAGCATCAGAGTACGAAAGAGCTCACTTTCTTCAACTTGTATCTTTCTCAACAGGTAAACCCTGGCATAAATACGCATCAAAAAGCAAACTGTGGTGACTGTGACGCATGCAACGAGGATGCCCAAGGCAAAAGTATTTCGGTTCATTGGATTGTCAAAATTAGGCGTAATTCCATCTGGCGGCGCATGAGCAGGCCCGTCTAGGTCCATAGTGGTTTAAACAAAACACCTTAAGGATGTGAAAGATATTCCAAATAAAACTGTAACAGCTACCCCATATGATGCTCCTCCAAATTGCAGTTGTCTTCCGTAGTCTTATTCTATGTCAAGCTGCGCTCTATCTACAAAGGGGTAGCTTTTTACGTACGGCTCTAAAGGAGCACCGTGCTGCCTTTGTCTTCTACATGTGGAGTGAGCATCTGGAGGTTGTTCGAATATGCCCTAGGTTTGATTTGTGGCAGATGATAGTAACCTACATTATTTGGACGCCACCAGCCTGAAGTTGCCGAGCCTGCAGTTGCCCCTAATACCATATCCTACAAAGAAGAGCCATCGTGATGGGACAGTCCCCTTTTAGACTGCAAACGATAGCTCCAGGATGATTCCTATTGCGGTATAGAGTTATTCAACAGACAATGCACACGAGAAATATTATGTGTCATTAGCTTTCCCCTGGAGCCTCACACGACAAGTAAGGTTTCGGCACTCGCTATGCAACAAAGCCCTGCGGAGAGTTTTATATGCTAAAGAGGTACGCTAGTCAGCCGTGTCGGCTTGGCTGCAAAGTGTCACGTTTGGATCGTAAGAGTATCTTCCCGATTTCTTTGACAGGTCAGAAGTTTTATCAAAGAGAATGAACCTTAGCGCAATTAGAAGTAGCCTTCGAGCTTCCTGCCCCTTTCTACGGAGAAGGCACATATACCTAGATAGGTATCCATCGGAGTGCCCGCTTGCAGTTGAAGAAAAGGATCGCCATCCCTGTGATAACTTGCTGCCTCGCCTATCTACAGAGCAATAATCGTCGTCGATGCTGCGGGTCCCGGAGAGTCAACTACCAATGCTTCTCTCAGGCACCCCACCAAGACAACTCATGGCAGTGCTGATTGGCAGTACGTGTATGCCGCGTCTTGATATGTAGGATGGACTGAATATTGGTCTTACGCTGTACCACAATACCAGACCTTATGTTAACTTGCTCTAATGCCTCAGTACCAGCAGGATGCTTGCTAACCCCTCCCATCCTAATATCATATGGCGGGAGCGGCCTTGTACCTTTACTTATACTCCCTACTTACACCCTTCAATTCCGACCCCGTCCTGAAATGACTTACTGTTTCTTCTTTCCCACCGTCATTAGGCTACATGCTTGCAGCTACAGCAAGGCAGGAGGTCTTTTACACCCACCAATTGACCGAGAACTGCTATGCCATTCTCACCCAGACACCGTTCCCCACTTGGGTCTCAGCATGTCTAGATCGCTCGCGCATTACCAAGCAAGAGGTGTTGGAAGAAGCAAAGGTAGATGGGCCAGCTTTACTGGAGCGTCATCCAGACCATACAGTAGCCGTATCACTTCTTTTCCACCTACCGAAGAGAGCCTCAGCAAGACGCTTGATATAGTAACAACTATTCGTGATAAGACGGCTTTGAATGTCCGCATCAACTCATACCCTCCCACGTCCATACTTCAGACTGACCACCGCAGCCAGTTTTGGCTTTGCGACACCGGTCACATACCGCCACCCCTTGGATTGCATAACCGAGGATGTCATCAGAATTTACCCGCCGCACACCATGGAGCCTGACTCTGACGAGGGTTGCGGGTTCGCCATTTCATACTAGAAGAGCTTGGCGCAAGCATTAATCGATGGTCCTGAGTGGAATAAGTTCTTCGAATATAGGGAAGTAGATGCTGAGAATGCAGCCCACTCGAAGCTCTGCAAAGATAAGAGGCTTATGACGAGGTCTAAATAGCTCAAGTATATGTCAAGTAGTGTCTCCTTGAGAAATAGACTCTATACGTTATCAGAACAATGGCCTAAGTAATGATCTACTATCCTTAGTTAGCTGGCAGTTCATGTGTTTTAAGTAAAATCAGGCCTGTGGGCGGTTCAAGCGGTTCAAGCAATCTAGTGCATCCGAACAATCCGATATACGCGACTAGGTATGCAGACAGGTAATATAGCTATGTAATGCCTTTGGCAAGCCCCAATCTTCGAGGGTGTCACTTATTGGTATGTACTAATGCTACTATAAGATATTTCTCGAATAGACCTACACACATGAGTCATTGCGTAGTTAGTTTGTGTGCTTATGCAACTTGTCATGACATTGACGCTAGTACTTTATAAATATGAATCAATTTGGTACCTTAGCAGTTAGATGCTAGTTGAAGTGAATAGGAGTTGCAGCTTCAGTTGTGACCCGCAGACTTAAAAGATCAGGGCGAGAGTAATGACCAACGAGGTCGAGGTTCTGGTTCGCCTTGATCCGATCTTTCAGATCAATATCCGCATACACGATCGCCTCCACTCCAGGATCCAATGGTGCCGTTAACGGAGCTCCATCAGGGCCATATATCACCGTAAGACCTCCTCCGGGAAGTTTCATCCAGTCCAAGTCTGGCAACTTGGACTTGATCTTCCCTTCCGGTGTTAGTATTTGAGTGCAAACAAGGACAAAGCAAGCACCCTCCATGGCCAAAACCTGACTGAAACGGCTACTTGCTTCGTCAGAGGTATGGTATGTCCAAGACGGGATGTTCCACATGCAAGGCCAGCTTGCGACATGGATGTCAACGTTTTGAGAATACTCGTAATACCGTAGCAGCGGTTGGGTATGCTCCCAACAGTTGAGCCCACCAATGTTTCCAAAAGCACTGGGTGCTACCGTTTGAAGGGAGTCTGCTTGCCCGTCTCCCCAGTAGCTTCTCTCGACATGAGTCGGCTTGATCTTACGTCGGTGGTGGACAATAGTACCGGTAGGGTCGATGAATGACTAGATGGTCTCTTGTTAGAAACCACGAGCACGAGGCACGTTCTGTGGTGAGTATACCTGGGCAATGTACAATGACCCTCGGTATCGTTCACTGTATCCCAGAACGATAAACACACCCGCTTCGCGGACGGCAACCTTGATGCGCTCCATCTCCTCCGATTCCCTCTCCAAGGAGTTTTCGAAGTATTCATTCATGAAGGACGCATTCTCCATGGCCGAGTTGGCCCAAATGCTCCTTGTCCGTAGTTAATCAATAGAGAGCACCTCTATGAAAGCTTGTTCGGTTGCTCACCATGGATACCCTGGGATGAATACCTCAGGAAAACCCACCACGTTTGCGCCATTGTTGGCGGCGTCCTTGATCAGGGAGATAACCTTGGCTACCCCGCCCTGTAGGTCATTCCAGACAGGTTCGGCCTGAACTGCAGCAACCTTGACCTTAGAAGACATTTTGTAGCAGTGAAAGTAGTATTCTCAGGACTGAAGACAAGCCTTGGAAGTGAAGATGATAGACAAGTGAAAACAAGCCTAGAAGCCGGGCGACATAATCTGTTATTTATTCTAAAGATGCAGGTTCAAATCCCGCTTCGAGGTTACATCTAGGCGGGATACCGTGTCAATTAATAATAATGCTATGATCCCTGCAGATCGTATGCATGTCGGGCCCACGACTCACCTGCAATGGATCGACAATTCATCGTTCCAGTGCCAGTAACAATGGGTTGCCAATCACATCCATCCATCCAGCCGTCCTTACTAGTAACTAATTGACCACCCTCACGTCATGTCTGAAGAAGTTTAACCTTAAAGGTAGCTCAGGCAATACATACGTTGACTGCATCTGGGCAATCGTATAAGAGGTGCACTGTAGGGTCAATGTTGGCATGTCCTCTGATTTTGACCCATGGCCTACCCTGAGTAGTACCTCTGTCTTGTAACTTGATATTTATAGGCCTTAGCACATAAATGTATATACTACATGCAACTATATGCTTCTGGTTCGTATTGATCAACGGTCAACCAGTACCAAGGGGCTCGTAGCAGTCATGTGAGCAAGACCTGACCGACCACCTTGGTTATTTTTAAAATTCCATACAGCCCACATCACATCCAACAGACCGTGCATTCTAACCATAGGCTCCAATGACATAGTATCGAAATCTCCTCATGCGATGTTAGTACCAATCAATACTGATTCGGCCACAGCCCCGAAGGAAGCGGGGCGTTTGGGCGATGGTCTCTGGGCGCCAACCCCAGTCGGGAATTTATCGTCTTGGTTGTGCTTGGCGAGTACAAGCGAAGGGATGGGGATACAGGATATCACCCGGCTTGGCGCCTCGTTTAACAGGAAGGAGATGTTGCCAATGCTTGGGTGGATAAGCGCGATCGAACTGATATCGAATATGTCGACCTAAAGTTGCGTCAAACTAGCCGTTGTTATATTACCCCTTGCTCCCCCCCTCCACCCCCTTAGGAGCCTCTCGAGGCTCGGGACGAACTGTCGAGCGTTCGGTTTTGTCTCCTCTTAGGCGACAATGGCGAACTTGAAGCTCTTCTTTAGGCAGATTTGGACGTTAACTCTGAAAAATCTCCTGCTCGTTCTCGTTCGCCCGGTTTTTACAACCGTGCTCAGGGCTCTCGTTTTGCCAGTAATTTTTACCGCGTTCATGTGAGTTATTTCATCTCCATGAAAAGGCAAGAATAGTAGGTCTAATAGGGATTTAGATCGTATGCCCGAAACCTATTTATTGAACCAGCTACCTATGGAATTGGTGATCCAGCCCCCTTACAGCCTTTGTCAGACACTCTGCATGCTATAACTGGTGGACGAGATAAGCTGGTGTTCGTTCATAATGGCCTCCTTGGCGGCCCTATCGAGAAAGTGATAGACTCAGTCACAAATTCCATACAGTCCAACCAAGATCAAGTATACCCGCACTTGTTGTCGTCTGAAAATGAGCTGCAAGAGTTATGTCGAACGTCCCTGAGTGGGGTATCCACTTGTATAGCAGCTGCGGTGTTTTATTCTTCCCCAACGGAAGGCCCATATGGAATATGGAATTATTCGATCAGAACGGATGCGGCCCTAGGAGCGGGTATCCATGTCGATAGTCATAAGAATGACCAGGAAATCTATCTTCTTCCCTTTCAACACTCTATTGACCGGGCCATAGCTCAGGCCAATACATCTACTGATCAGAATGCGCTACCTAACGAGGTAATTACATTCTATTAGTGGATCGCCCACACCGACTACCTTGGGCTTAACTGACGGGCCTATAGATCATGGAGTATCCTTTTACATCATTGACTCAGGAGGGGCGTCGCGACGAAATCCGGGTCAATTATATGGGTGCAGTTATCAACATCATGGCCATCGCCATTTTTATCGGCATCGTGGGAGTTACCTACCAGCTAACTGGCTTAGTTGCGATGGAACGTGAACTGGGAATGAGCCAGCTGATAGACTGTATGATGCCAAATGAGTCCAGATGGCAATCGCAAGCAGCCCGGTTTATCGCAGCACACCTGGCACTGGACTTTGTATATGGCATAGGGTGGATTATCATGGGCGCCATCTTGAAATACGGAATCTACAGCAGAACATCCGCAGGGATTACCATAGTCTACAACATCCTGGCGGGGCTCGCTTTGTCGTCCTTTTCCATCTTTGGAGCATCTTTCTTCAAGAGGGCACAGCTTAGTGGTATTTCCGTCGTCATAGCTTGTTTGCTCCTCGGTGTCATAGCCCAGATGGTCCCAGCGAGGACCAATGGTGCTGTTGTCATACTTGGTCTTCTATTCCCGCCAATGAACTATGTCTACTTTCACGTATTCATGGCTCGATGGGAAAGGCAAGACTTAGCCACTGATCTTGTGCATGCAGCTCCTGAAAATCCTTGGTCACTTCCCGGAGTCGTCCTCTGGATACTCCTTATCATCCAAATACTTGTGTATCCGTTGCTTGCGGCTATGGTGGAGCGCATACTTTACAGTACGGCATCAAAGGGCCGAAAGGCCACAAGCACTAACACCTCGACGACCGCACTCAGATTACAAGATTTCACGAAATCCTACCAACCAGGATGGTTTTACAGAAATATCGCTACACGGTTTGGCAGTACCCGTCAGTCTGTTCTGGCAGTGAATAGTTTGAGCATGGATGTCAAGAAGGGTCAAATTATGGTCCTTCTCGGGGCTAACGGATCAGGAAAGTCTACTACCTTAGATGCTATCGCTGGTCTAACGAAAATCTCCGCTGGGGAGATTAACATAGACTATGGAGCAGAAGGTGGCAGATTTGGCCTCTGTCCGCAGAAAAATGTACTCTGGGATACCCTAACTGTTAAAGAGCATGTCAAAATCTTCAACAGGCTCAAGGCGACTGAAAAGGTTGATACTGAGCACCAACTATTAGGGCTTTTACATGATTGTGACCTTGATAAGAAAGTCGGTTCCTATACGAGAACCCTTTCTGGCGGACAAAAGCGAAAGGTTCAGTTAGCAATGATGTTCACTGGTGCTTCCTCCGTTTGCTGTGTAGACGAGGTTTCATCTGGCCTTGATCCAATCTCACGAAGGAAAATATGGGATATTCTTCTGGCTGAGAGAGGCTCCCGCACTATATTGCTGACAACACACTTTTTGGATGAAGCGGACCTTCTGGCCGATCACATTGCCATTCTCTCCAAAGGCGTGCTCAAGGCAGAGGGATCGAGCGTGGAACTGAAGCATCGGCTAGGCTCAGGATATCGTATCCATGTTTTGAACATGCCGGGGGCAGCATTGGGCCGTGTGTTCAATGATATCCCCCAAGAAACCCACTTTGAAGAAACTGTGTATACCGTTCAGACTTCTGCAGAAGCTGCCTCTTTCATTTCTAGGCTTGAGCAAGAGGGCATCACGGAATACCGCGTAAGCGGTCCTACAATTGAAGACGTTTTTCTGAAGGTGGCTGGAGAGCTGGGCTCCCAAAAAGCTCAGGACACTGTCGTGGAAAATACCGGGGCTGAAACGCAGCCCTCTGAAAATCAAGGCAAGGAAGACGTACATCAAGAATTGCAGCTCCTCACTGGTCAACGCATCAGTATGGCCCTCCAGGCGTGGTATCTCTTCCGTAAAAGAGCTACCATCCTTCGCCGGAATCCCCTTCCGTACGTCGCGGCCTTGCTTATCCCTGTCATTGCAGCTGGTTTGGTTACACTCTTTTTAAAAGATGTTACATTAGCCGGCTGTAGTGCGGGAAGCACAATGAGGATACCAAAGCCTCAATCCCTACAATCACTAGACGATTTTCAAATCGTACTCGGCCCCTCTAGCAGGGTCTCAAACGCCACTTTGGAGAGCTTTGTTAGCTCATTATATGGCTCTGGACAAGCTATAACAAGGGCTCCTGAATCTTATTTCCATGTGGTGGACAGCCTTTCTGAATTCGAAGACTATATCAAATACAACTTTCACAATGTCACCCCGGGTGGATTTTACCTTGGAGATGCATCATCCAGCCCTACCCTCGCCTGGAAAGGCGACAATGGTGATTTCCCTCTAGCTGCTATCATTCAAAACATCTTCCACCGTCTCCTTATCGATATGCCTATCGATCTCCAATTTCAGTACTTTGGCATCCCATTGCAGCCCAACGCCGGTAAAATTCTCCAGCTTATTATCTACTTCGGTCTAGCTATGTCGGTCTACCCAGCTCTATTCGCCCTGTATCCGACTGTGGAGCGACTGAGGAATGTCAGGGCGCTTCACTTCAGCAACGGTGTCAGGGGCGCGTCCCTTTGGCTCGCATACGTCGGCTTTGATTTCAGTATTGTCATTATCTCCAGTGTTCTCGCCATCATCATCTTCAGAGCCGTATCTGATATCTGGTATAATCCAGGGTACATTTTCGTGGTCTTCTTCTTATATGGACTTTGCTCCACTTTGCTATCGTACCTAGTTTCCCTGTTCTCAAGATCCCAACTTGCAGCCTTTGCAGTCGCGGCCGGCAGTCAGTGCATCCTGTTCCTCATATATCTCATCGCCTACATGTGTATTCAGACCTATTCTCCCACGGACAAAGCGGAGTCTTATATCGACATCGCTCATTTCACGATCGGTCTAATCTCACCTTCCGGAAACCTCCTCCGTGCTCTCTTCGTGTCCCTAAATGTATTCTCCATATTATGCCGGGGAACTGAAGTTGCCTCCTACCCAGGAGAAATCACTCTCTATGGTGGACCCATTCTCTACCTTATTGTCCAGTCTTTCGTTCTCTTCGGGTTACTCCTATGGTTTGATGGGGGCTCCATGCTTTCACTATTACGTTCCAAATCCAAACCCAACGATGAGGAAGAGAAATCCACATTAGACAAAGACATCAGCCCTGAGGAGTTACAGCCCACAAATGCAAGTCCAGACAACGGCCTCCGCGTCCGCCATCTCACGAAAAAATTCCACAAATTCACCGCCGTAGAAGACATCACCTTCAGCGTCAGCAAAGGAGAAGTATTCGCCCTTCTGGGTCCCAACGGCGCCGGTAAAACAACCACCATCTCTCTCATCCGAGGCGACACCCCACCCTCCCGAAACGGAGGCGACATCTTCGTCGACAACATCTCCGTCCTGCGACACCGTGCTTCCGCCCGATCCCACCTAGGCGTCTGTCCCCAGTTCGACGCAATGGATCAAATGACCGTCCTAGAACACCTCACCTTCTATGCCCGCATCCGCGGCGTCCCCGATGTGCCCCACAACGTCAATGAGGTCATCCGAGCCGTCGGTCTAACACCCTTCAAACACCGCATGGCGCTTACTCTATCCGGCGGAAACAAACGCAAGCTGTCTCTCGGTATTGCCCTGATGGGCAACCCTACTGTTCTACTGCTCGATGAGCCGTCGTCTGGTATGGACGCCGCGTCGAAAAGAGTCATGTGGAAGACGCTCGCTGCTGTTGCTTCTGGACGTTCGATTGTCCTCACCACTCACTCTATGGAGGAGGCCGATGCCCTCGCTCATCGGGCGGGTATCATGGCGAAACGCATGTTGGCTCTTGGTACCACGAATTCCCTCCGCTCGAACTACGGGAATAGATACCACGTTCATTTGGTACATCGCCTGGCTCCACATACGAGTGAGGAGGACATGCAACGGATCCGCACGTGGGTTGGTCAGAACCTCCTCGGTGCTGTTATTGAAGAGAAGACGTATCATGGTCAACTACGTTTTACGGTGCCTGCTACTGGGTCGGGCTCGACAGAGTCCGATGATTATGACGGTGATACCATGCCGCCATCTGAAGTCGATATGGACACCATCAAGGGAGGAAGGAACACCGGCAATAATAGCATCGTCAAGCTCTTTTCGTATCTTGAGGAGAGTAAGGAGGAACTCGGGGTACAGTTTTATTCTGTTAGTCAGACGACGCTAGATCAGGTGTTTTTGACTATTGTTGGGCAGCATAATATTGCGGAGGAGGGTTCTGGGCAAATATCCTCGTCGAAGGAATAGGTCTGGGTCCTTTTTTTTTTCTCATTTCTTGTATTTTCTTTTCATTTTCTCTTCTTTTTGATTCAGTTGTTTTATCTTCCCCGTTTATATACTGGTATATATATTCCCTTTTTGTCAAATTTTGGGACTTTATTCGATTTCAAACTGGTGGATATATGTCCGTTGTAACTCATTCTTACTCCGTTATATTTGCTATCATATCATTGATGTTATGGCGCACTATTCATAGAATATAATCATGCTAATAAATATACCGGAAACTGTAAAGTAGAAAAGTTAGCACAAATACCGCACAAAATCAGCGAAATGAAACGAGAAAAAACATACTTCAAATTCTCCCTATCCGTCAGATCCAAGAAGGCAGTCGCATCCAGATCTCTACCTTCCAACCCGCCTTCCATCTGAGACTGTATCTTATCCCTCTTTTGATTCTCCCAGCGAAGCAGAAGGCCCAGGGTACTGATGAGGACAGCTTCAATCAGATGCGAAACGATCATGGACCAGATGCCGAGCTCGTAGGTTGGTCTGTTTGAATGGCCTGATTAGCATCGGATTGTAGAGACTACACGCTTGGGCTCACTCACTTCTGGCTCTCCTTGTAGAAGAATGGACCGGCGATGTTTCCAGTGCAGTACCCTAGGAAGAGGACTGCGTTGGTGACTACTTTCTTTGTGTGGCCTAGAACGATTTTAGTTAGTTGGGTGAATCGGGGTGGAATTCCTAGCATGCCGTACCAGCTGTGTTTGCGACTTGCATACTCAGGACCAGAACGAAGGCTGCGTTGTATGGGCCTGTTAAGTAATAGCAGATTAGTCGGCCGACTTGCTGATCTGTCGGGACGAAGCGTAGGCCGAATGCCCCTGCTATATTTGGGATGAGGAATATTAGGATGAAGACGCAGCGTCTGTTCTCGAAGCGGTCGTTGAGGTATACACAGGCTAGAATGGAGAGTGCGATCAGGGCTCCGTAGGGTATCTGGATGATGTAGTTGAGCTTTTGCTGTAGTCTGGCGTCATCAGTGTGGTTGCTTACCTGCATCAGGGTAGTCACTAGGGTAGAGAATCCGAAGCCTTTGATGATTATGGTTCCAAAATTAGAGATGCCACCGTTTGGAACATTGCCTGGATAATCCGTCATATAAGCTATGGTAATCAGACATTCAAGGGAGGGGGTTTTATACAAACTAGACCGAGGGTGAAGAAGAAGTATATCTTGTAGTCTAGGAACGCTTCGAGAATCTGGTAAGGCTTGAGATGCTTGTTTTCGACACCTGTCTGATTATCTCGTAATCTCTCCACTGCGATTCGACGCTCCCTTTGGGTGAGGCCCGGTGCTGTGACCGGTGAATCAGGGAGGAAGATGAACATGACGATTCCCCAGCTGAGCAAAGCGCGCCACTAGACGACATCTTCATCTTAGAGGGGATATCAATGGTAGTGAAACGGAATGTTTGCTTACATTACAATAAATTCGTACTTCCACGATGGAAGTGCACCTCTGATATGACCGATTCCATAGCCTAAGAGACCTCCAAGGGCAATTCCGAGCCCATTGGCCGTATACCATAAACCAATACGGACAGGTTGCTCGCGTCGCGTATACCACATACTAGTGATGAGCATAAACGCAGGATCCGCACAGGCTTCTGCGGCTCCCCCCAGCGCTCGAAGCACAGCAAGAGTTGCGAAGTTGTTACATGCGGCTTGGATCATCAGGAAAACACCCCTTTGAGCTGTTAGATGGCCGTCTGGCTATCTGGTGGCAAAAAATACGAAACGTACCACATGAAGATATTCGCTCCAAGATATTTTCCTAAGACAGGCCAGTTAGATCATGTTCTATATATGCCTTTATTAGCTAATTCCATACCTATGGGCAGTCTTTGCATCAGAAAGTTCGTCGGGAACGCCCAGGCGAGGAATCCGAAGTAAAAAATACTACTGAGCCAACTATACTGTGTCCCGTGAAGGTTAAGGTCTTCATTGATCCCAAAGATTGCCGCATAGCTCAATGTGGTCTGGGAATGCATACAGTTATGTGTTAGCTGGCCCAATGAAACAAATAACTGGTACACACGTGGAACGAGATCCTTAACTACCTTATCAATATAAAAGAAGGCATAGCAAACGGCTAGATATGGTAATATCATGAAGTCAATTTTCCAGAGCAGTTTGCGCGCCTCGACTGGATCCACGGGTTCCTGAAGTTCCTCGTCGTTGAAAATTGCCATGGCCGTGTCGCCATCTTTCGGTTTTAGTGCTTTAAGGCCCGCCTCGACATGTGTGTTCTCGCTGTGAACAAACGTAGGCGCCTCTGCCGAGTCAATCTTGGAACCTGGAGTAGGCTCCAGGTGAGGGTTGCCGCTCATGTTGGTGACAGTTTCTTTCTTCCTCGCGTGCAAACCTGCAAAAGCTGCCAGCTTCCAGTTCGACGCAAATGCAGACCTGAGGGAAACGCTGTGTCAGGAAGGGGAGGGGTCATCTTTGTTTTTATGGAGACCCAAGCCTGATGTCAGGCCATCAAGCACGATCACCAAAGACGAAGCTTAATCTACCATCGAATCCAAATGTATCCGCAACGACACAAACAACTCCAGTTTTGTCGCTAAGGACTGGCTGGGGTAGATTCTCTATCCCCACGCAGACCCACCGCGGCAGATGGAGAGCTCCGTCTGGGGTCGACAATATGCGGGGAACTGATCCGTTGATCAATCGAGTCTTGGAGTTAGCCCGAGGTAGCAATAGAAACGTGGGGGTTTGCACATACTCAAGACCGCTCGGAATAAGGCCGTGCGATCGTGTACTAGGCAAAGCTGTCCTGTTACGACACGATTGGGTAATGCAAAAAGAGTTCGGACAAAAGACCGAAAATATGAGACAAGAAGCTCGTGAGGAATAATAGGTGGAAAATCCACAACCGCGTGCCGATCCTGCCTGTTAAAGAAGTTGGGGAAGAATTGGAAAAGTTGGGGTATAAAGTATTGAGTCCAAGATTTATGGATAGCGAGGGTGGATGCACCATATTATCTTGAAAAGGAACTGACGAAGAGTCTCCGTCTTATGATATCCCACCAGATATCCCGAGCACCTTAGCCTTAACTAGTATATCAGTTGACATTCTGTCACGGGGAGCACGTACAAGTAGTTATTTGGTTGACTGCCGGCCCAATACGAGCCTGATTAGATATCGCAGGAAACATCTTGCCAATCAATGGGCTCTGTGAAAATTGGAAAATTTATGGGATACGTCCTCTAGCATAAGGAGAATAACCTTGATTCACGCATCCATATCACTTTGCCAACTCCCATCTTGTCGGATTCTCTTTAGATCATTGTAGTAAATCCTGTCCTTGTAAATGTGCGCCTTGAGGTATATAAGCGTGAGAAGGCCCAAGCATTTCACCTGCAGAGCTTTCGGTGTTGTTGCACGGGGCACCTCTTCATATTCATCTAATAGATTGTGGAGTGTCCCCAACACCTCGTAACGGTATGACTGACACATTATATACTCTCTTAGCTCGGTCTGATTCAGTTTGCAGTCCCTGGTATCAAGTCATCTATCTTTGGTACTGTTGCAGCTGCGTCACGTTGGTTCAGAAGGTCGGTCCCCAGTTCCAAACGAGCAAAAGCACCCGGAGATACTCGTACCTAAATTCCTGTCCCATATTGTCAAGGGGGTCTGGATGCTCTGACGTTAAAGAATCCTCTTGAAAGGTTTCGCCATTTGCGATATATAGAGGAGTTACTCCTATTATGATGATATTAAAATAGTCTTTGAATGGCCTCACAATGCTTGGCTTCGATGCCCCTTGTATGAAACAGACAACATCCCCAGGCTTGACGGGCTGTGCTGTGACCCGCACGGTCCATTTAACGGTGCCTCGTTCGACGCTGTGACTGCAGCCACGTCTCGGATCCTTGATGTACTGAAATGATTGTGTCGAGTTGTACCAGTCAATGTGCACATGCTGTCTATCAAATCGAGATTTGTCTCCGTACGCTGCAGATACCCTCCCTAGGCTATAACCCATGCCCTTTATCAACGCTAATTCCTTATCAGGCCAAGTTTCTATCGATACCCTTTGCGACAGAACATGCCTAATAATTCGCTGGAAGAGGACTTCCCAAGGGACCTCATAGTGAGGCAACAAGCCCACTACCTCCAGGTTATCGCAGCACATACCAAGAAGGGCAAACACTTTATCATGGCGTATGGTAGCCTTGTGGGAATGGTACATATCAAGTAACTCGCCCAAAGGGCGTCTCCTCTCGTGCATTACCCCGTAACCCGGACGGAATATTGCTCTTCCTAAGAGATAAGTGACTGGGCGTACGGAATTGATCAAACTCTGCAGCCTCGGACATCTGTTGTGAAAGTCCTCTATACCGCGCAAACCTGAGGAAAATGCATAGCCATTCATCTCCATAGGGCCACATTTGACCAGGACCGACCGAGCAACTCCAACCTCTTGAAGAACCTGTAATGTTGTTAATCAGGTACCTCTATATATATACCTTGCTTTTTGCTTTCGCTTACCCAGACCCGCCGAAACCAAGGGCGTTCTAAGAGTTCTATAAGTGCTGCATCGTTGAATTCTACCAACAGACTCTCGCCTTCCGCAGCGACTTGTAATCTCGCTAGCGTCAGAGTGCTATCATTTTCTTCTTCTCCAAGCCAAACGATAACATTCTTAGCCTGCCCATAGATTTTAGCCATCAATTGAATCTGCTCTTCTTTCTCTGTGTTACTTTTCTGGTCAATACATATAGCATCGACCCACAGCAGCCTCGGGAACCGTTCATATCGAAGGCGCGACAGCGCTGCATGCAAGTTTGACGTGACTTCCAGGGAGTAGCTGTTGACGTATATCAAAGAGGGGTTTTCTGTTGAGCCCCAGACATACGACAGGGCTTCGTAGGCTTGCTCCTCCTGTTCTTTGAGGGGGTGCTCAATGAGCCCACATTCAATTGGAGCAGCTCGGTCTTTATTCGGTAAGAGGCGAAGCATGCGAATGGTGTTATGTCCAGGTGGAAGTGGTGTATAATTATAGGCAGACATATTGTCAAACGTTTTTTCCCTAGAGATGATCAATTACATCCCAAAAGGACATTTTTGGGGTGGCAGAATTCATTTTGTATCCCAAGTAAGGCTGATGTTAACGAGAGATCAACAAGCCCCGCAAAGAATGATAAATCCCGTGCATCAGCGCAATATCGAGCAACGCCGGTAATTCTATTATGAATCCTAGTTTCTTCCAAGAACATACCCTATATTGATCTCTATCCAAGGTTACAAGAAATAATAAATCAGTAAACGTCAATGGCCATATACAAGTAATAATACAGTCGCCAAATGCAAAACCCCAAATGAGCAGCGGCCCTTTTAACGGCGCCGTTTCTGTCCACGACCGCGTCCTCCCTGTCCTCTCTGGCCGGAAAGAGCAGACTTTTGTCGGAGATAGTTCGAGACGATGTTCTCAACGCTGCGCATATCGTGTCTGGGTTGTCTTGGGGGGTGAAACAAGACATGTTAGCCAAATCAAGTACGGAGAGAACACACAAAACCGCCAATAATAAGCCATATACGCACCTCATGTAGTACAACCTGGCTCTCCTCTTCCTCTTCTCTGTCCTCTGTACAATTTCCACGCTCTCAACGTTGGGACTGAAAACCTTCACCCACATCTCAACACCGACCCTGGTGAGCTCATTACGAAGCAAGAACGTAGTGTCAATGCCGCGAAGACGAATGCTAAGACAGACTCCGGAGAATGGGTCCCCGTTCTTGAAGGTCACGCGCAGAATGTCACCGACCTTCACACTGCGTGGGTTTCTTCTGTAGTCGAAAAGTGCTTTGCGTTCACCAGTTGGATCAAGGGCTGCCAATTGAGATTCTGTCACTGCTGCCACAGGGTCTTTGCAAACCGAGCGGCTTGAAGGCGGAGCAGGGTAGACTTTGAGCTTCTTGCGGCCTGTTCAGGGGTGCATTAGCCATCTGACAGTAGCCTCGGGGGTAGATCAAAAGGCGCAAGGCATACCATTGGTAGGCTGATGGCGAGGAGGTATTTGAGAAAGGAACGACTTGGGCAGTTTGCTCGGAAGAGGCACGGGCTCTTGTTTCGGAGTGTACGCAGTCGTGATGGATCGGCGAGCGATTTGGGGCGACACCAATGACTGGGGCTTCGCGATAGACCTTAAGCAGCCCAGCTGCCGCAGGATTGGTGAAAAGGTCGCCATGGCTGCAAGGATCGTGGTGCGCTGAGCAGCTGGCAAAGAGAAAGATGCGAGAAACAGACGGATCTCCGAGCGTGAAGTTTGCGGACCGGCAGAATTTCCGCCAAGCCTCAAATTGCCTGTTTGGGTCAACGTCCAGAACTCGACTCCGGGAACTTTTCTGCCATCGCGGACCAGCTTTGCGCTTCACATTGTCTTGATCTAATCTTCAATTTTGTACAAGCGGGGTTTGTTCTTCTCTATCGGGTCGTTAAGGAAAATCTATCACGTTCAACCACCCCTGAACCCCCTATACCTTCAATAAAATGGCGCAAAACGCCATTGGAAGGCTCTTCCGCGGCCAAAGTTCCAGCACCCTCCGTCAATCCATTGGCACACTCACACAGAAACGTTGCTATTCCTCGAAAAATGGTGCGATTGCTCGCTGGTATTCCTTTGTTGCTGTCAAACTAACATCTATAATGCAGCCATTCCGACCTTTTCCCCGACTTCCTCCGCCGAGCTGGACCAGGCCCTCAACCGTTTCCGCGAAGAACTCTTTATACCGTTCGGACTAGGAACGCAGCAAAGGAGGTTAATGTTTCGTCAGAAGTACGCCGACCGTCTAGAGGAAGAGCCCGTCAGCGTATCTGTCGGCGAAGATGAAGAGCCATTCCTGCTCCGCCCCATGGACCCGCAATCAAGACCAACGAAGAAGGAAATCGTGGACGTTATCACACTCATGCAGACGACAAAGGATTGGCAGAACTTGATCCCTTTCCTGTCCGGATTACGGATGTCACATCGCGTCATTAAGTCCGACCGTTGGCAATGGTTGGTACGCCGGGCTGGCCAGGCTGATGCTCTTGGTATTATTCTCGAAGCCGCGAAGCAGAGCGAGAAGACTGGTCTCCGTCTCAGCAATGTGGATATTGTACAGCGCATCTTCTTCGAACTTCACCGCAAGGCCCAAAGAGGAGAGTTCAAGGATCCCGAGGTGTCGAAGGCTTTCACATTGGCGAAGCAGTTTGTCTCCCTGATGGAAGCTCCCGAACACATCGAACATAACCTGGAGCTCGATCCTAAGAGGAAGCCATTTGTTATCGGCACCCTACTTGAGCTCAGTGCTGCTCGTGCTATCAACGAGCTTGGCGGCAATGATGAAGGTGGCCTGGTCCGTTCTTATGCCCAACGTCTCCTGGGCAGCTGGTCGCTTGGTAACTTCGGTCGTGACTCTAAGAATTGGCACGGTGTTGACCACGTGTTGCAAGAGATCGTGCCCATCTACAATGGTATGAAGCTTGCCCTCAAGGTCAACGGCATTTCAAATGATAAGTCTGTCGCCCCGGGCCTGAAGACACGCGTGAATGAGCTGGGAACTTTGATTGCGAACCAAAAGAAGGCTGCACCGGAGAAAGCTGTGCAACGGCCAACGTTGGGTCTTGAGCAGAGTCGGCTTCTGCATCAGGGTTAAACCCATATTTCTTTCTACACATTATCTATGAATTGTATATTACCACTTAGAATCACTTGGAGCATTGTATGTTATCTCAAATCTGAAAATGGGCTATTTTCTCCTTGGACAAAATATACCGCTGCGCCTGACATGTTTGGGGTACTTTAGCATCAACATGGATAGAGGCAATTTAATGTTCCATTCAAAGACTGCAAAAGAAATCAGCCGGCAACATCAGTCATGTAGCCGTGAGGTCAACGCTAAAAAAACGATCAGATGTTGTTGCGCACATACGCGATTTAGCACAACTCTAATGTGTTGTCGTCACGGATACGGCCTTGCACCGCTAGCGTGGTTTTCCCAGAGACAACGGCAGGGCCAGAAACAGTAATCTGTTGGGCAATCATTAGCTAAACGAGAAAAGATGTAGCGCAAGTCCATTATAACAGAATCGCGTACCTGTCCCTCATTTTCCTTGTCTTCCGAGACACCGGTAAGAACAACTTCAACGCTACTTAAAGGAGCTCCGAAGTGACTTTGGCCCTGATAGCGCCTATAGTCAAATACATTCGTCTGAGAGACAGCGCCGGCGACGCCTGGACCAGTCAAGGCGTAGACCACACGAGCCCCAGTAAAGATCTTCAAATCCGTTAACTGTCCGGAGGTAAGGCGAACCTTGGGGTCGGCGTCCGCACGGTGCGAGATACATAAGAGGCGAAGCTTGTCGAGTGAGAGCTCGGCCATCGGTCCAATATTGGCAACCTGACTGAACATGCCATGAGAGGGCATGACTCCAGCATCTAATTTCCTCACATCGAACCAACGAGCCAGGGAAGAGACGATACCGGAATGTGGTTCCATGAACCTGTTATGGTAATCGGACATTGTGCGAGATGAGGCAATAACCACAGTTGGAGATACTCCAACGGTAGCCAAAGCGAAGTCGACACCTTCCCCAGCAACAGAGTTCACTGCAACGGAGGCATTCGAGTACAGAGCGGCCATTACCTGACATAACGGATAGGAGCGAGAAAGGGAATCAGTCGAAAGCACCAGATCACTAGGGCTGAACCGCTCATTACGAGGCAAGGAATAAGTCAATCCAGCGATGGCGGAGATCAAATTCTGTCGCACCGTCAGCCTTGAACTGGCACAATAAGGGAAACCTTACCGCTGGCTGATACTCGATGAACTCGCCTGCTCCTGAGGCGGATGGCCAAACCGTACTAAGGGAATATGAGGGGCTGTTCGGCTCCCAGCTGGGAACATCAAGCCCAGCCAAGTCCTTCTTCTCTTCTACTATCTCGTGCCAGACAGCAACCTCCAGAGTACCTTTGACATCACCAGGCACGTCATTCCAGTCCATATGCCTACTACCGAGCTTCGCAACCCAGATGACCTGAGAAAGTTGCTCGTTACTCTTCGCCACAAGAGACAAATCAAGTGCGCCCGCCTCCGCAATCAATACATCTGCCTGGGATTTCTGCAGGAGAGTAGATAGGTCATTGGGGTCAAGGTTGTGAGGGATAAGGATGATCTTGAACCCATAGAAAGCACCAGCTGTGTGTCAAAGCCTCTGTCAGTAAGCAGTCATAGGGCACACGCAGGTCGAGGAGCTCTAACCGAATATTGAGGCCAAAAGCTCAACCGAGTCTGTAAGGCAGACGGCAACTATTTTAGCCTTGGAGGATTGCAGGCGAGACCCAATGACATTGATCTCTTGCGTTACTTGTTCCAACGAATGCTCTATCGCCCTTCTTCCGAGGACAGTATAGATCTTTCCCTGTTTTCCAGATAACTTGTTGTCCTCTGCAGCTCCTCGAACGGCAGTTTTCCAGACATCGCGCAAGTCACCTTTTCGTCCAGCGGTCCATTTCGGTGCTCCGGGGTCCTTGACGTTCAGCCCGGACCGAAGGGGGAAGCCGTGTGGGGTCTCAAGACTGCGGTAGGCGGCGGATTCGCCAGGCTGGCGGACAGGGAAGGCTGTTGACTGACGAGCCAGCAAAAATGGGTGAATGTCTGGCTCCTTGGACGTAGCAAATGAATAAATAAGAAAGGTGACAATAGTCCCTGCGATGAGAGTCGTGTATATGTTCCAGTCAGCCAGGACGTCAGCGACCAATGTATCTAGCTTGGCAGCTAGCGACGTTTCCGAAGCCATTTTGGGTTTAATTATGCCCGACAATGCGTCGTCATGTAGGATGCGAGATGTACAGGAGGGTGAAGGTCCGGTTGTTTCCTTATTTCCGTAGTAAGGGCCGGGTTCTAGGCTGCAACGAGATGGTGACGTGACCTCAGCTGAGGGTAGATGTGGAGACAACTCGCGGGTCCGGCGTTTAATGCTTCAAAGTTACCGAGCTACCTGAAAACTCCGCGTCAAAGGCGCTTGTGACAGTGGTTGCCAGTGAGCAGGACGTACCGATCATCAAAACAAGCACTGTCCCACCACAGCATTTGAAGAGCTAGTCGCGCTGCCCACCACGATATGGTTGTTGGCTCTTTTTGAACTCGTATAATTACTCGAGGCCGAAAAAATCTTACACAAATGCTCAGGTGACTTTTTCTAGGACAGCGTCACACAGGTAGGTTAGGTAAGTTTCAACACCCCCAATTCAAGGTAAGTTTTCTGGGCCTTTGCGCAATACTGAGAAGACCATACTCACAGCTGTGCAGGCTATCTCCTTTTCCCTTTGTTTGTACTTTTCCGTCTTCGTACACATCAATGGCTTCCCTATCCGCGCCATCTACCCCTAGGGCAGTATCTTCGCCTGCACCTACTTCAGACGAGTCCCGGACACCAGGAAAATGGCGCCATCCGCAGTTGAATGAAATAGTCCGGCGACAGAATGCTGGAACATTTGGAGATAGTAATATCAAAAGAGTTCTGTGGAATGGGGCTGCTTTACTAGCAACCTGGATCTTTGGCAACACCTTCAAATCCTAGTGAGTAGCGACAGGGAGGTCGATTGTGACACACAGACTAACAATTCCACTACAGCTCCCTGCGACTCGAAAAGTCCAGCCAGTATTCTACATATCCTGATCTTTCCCTCCATATGTTACAACTTATCTTCGTTCTCAATATCCTTGTGGCACTATACCCTCTCATTCGCCCAAAGGATAACCTCTCCGATATCCCACTCACCCCTACGCAACGTGCCCTCTTAGGACTGGATCCATCTGCCACAGCACCGCCGACGCCGGGATCTGCGTACATCACTCCACCCAAATATCGGCTTTCTGGGTCGCGGGCAGCAAGCCCGGCCAGCAGAAGTGCATCGCCTTTGTCAACCAGTGCCAGTGCTTCTGGGCGTAAGGTATCGTCGGGCACATTGTTTTCGCCTTCTACTAGTCCATTGCTCCACAAAGCTGTTTCAAATGGAGGAAGAGAAAATGGACGGAGACCGAGTTTCGGCTCTCTATCACCTCTTGGGAGAAGCTCACCTTTTCGTGAATCAACCTTCCGTGAATCAACCTTCCGTGAATCAACCTTCCGTGAGTCAAGCTTCGGTTCGAGTACGGGTCCTGCGACTCCGTCGCCAGTAGGGGGGAAACGTGTTAATCTGGGCCTGAGTAACAAGTGGCTGTATGAGCGGAGCAGGCGGCTGTCAGCGAGCAATGGTAGTCTTTGAATTACTTTTGTTGGTGTTCGGTGCATTAGGGTGGAGACAATCATATATTCATATGTTCTGAAGGGCGTTCAGCAAGCACTGTGTCCTTTTATGAAAAGATCGAATTTTCAATGTGCATTTTATGCATTATATTTTATAGAAGTTTTTCTTTATAGACAGGAATTGTATATGTATAACGGTATGACAAATTGGAGATTCTCGGAAATAAAAATTAGCTGATGAAAATAAGCATGGACCGACCGCACAATGCGCAACTAGGCAGCTTTTTCCCACGTTCCCCAGTTCTGATGTCGGAGTCTCCGCGGGTCTAGTACCAAGTTCTAGTTCCCGCTTTATGCATTGACCCAAGAATGCCAACTACCTCGATTGACATTCATCCACACGCGGCACTCATCGATTGGAGTAATTTCCAAAGCACTGTTCCCTAAAAGCGTCACATTCAACACCGAATTTAGATCATCACTGTTCGTGACTGCATGAAGCCGATATTTCCGTGAAACACAGGCGGTGGCTTCACAATGGGAGCTTCGGAGTCAAAGCTGGTCTTCAAGCAGGGAATCTTCCGTCTCTCAGAAGAGAAGGACATTCCTGCGGACGATCCGTACTGGGCCAGAGTTCGTTTTCCATCTCTTCTACCGATGAGGGGGTTCCTTGGTATCTCTGACTATTGTACTGTAGTTCTGGGAGCTCCCAGAGTCAACTGAAGATGTCTTCAGTTTATTCACCCCCGCCGACATACGACGGACTCGCGACAACGCGCTATCCAACTTCGAAACGCTATTGCTCTCTGTAACATCGCGTCTCAGTATATTAAAGAACCATCCCTCGTTTCCAGACCCTGAGCTTGCTCCCGACCGTGACGCCCTTAACTGTATTCGCATCTTGACCCGTATCCTCCCTTTCGTTTACGAAGCCGAGCACCTGGAAGACTGGGAAGAGAAATTCTTTTGGGGTCGCCGGAAGAAGAAGACACGACAAGCACAAGTGGCAGCCGAGATACTCTTTGATGAGGCACAAACTGAAGAACCACGAGCGTCGCCAGAGCCCAATGATTATGAAGAGGTGAAGCCTTTAGCCGAGGAATTAATTGATACACTTGTGGATCTTCTCTTCTACATAGACTTCACCATCCCAAAGCTCCCGACGGCCAAAAGCAAAGTGTCCTACTCAATATGGCAGAGCGGTGTTGGTTGCAATACATCTATGGGCTCGAACAAAGAGCTGGAAAACAACCGCTGTGAGATCATTCGGCTATTACTTACCTTAACGGGAAAGGCAATGTACATGCCTTCAGGTAAGTGCTGTCAACTTTTATCAATGATGGCCTCAACTGACGTTCTGGCAGGTTTGTTACCAGTACAGGGTGTCAAAGCCATTACGTACATTGCAACATGTCCCGATAAGCAGGCCGTTTTAACACTGCTTTGTTCATTACTGAACACAGTACGTGTAACCTTCCGCTTTAATGTCCACGTATAGAGCTTTACTGACACTCCTAGGCCATTAAATATAATCCCGCTTCCTGGAGGGTGCCCTATGATCATGTTGTCTGGAAAGATCCTAAGCAAATACTAGTTATATATTGCTTGCAGTTTCTTTTGGTACTTCTCTTATACCCAATCCCAGAAGATGGGCGCGGAGCTTCGCCAAAGAATTACTACCGCCATTACTTCGGAAGGCTACATAGGCCGCAGGACTTTCAATTTCTGGTTGATGGCATGACCAGAATCTTAAATCAACCAGTAGGTCTTAACCAGCTCCTTTGAGTGTTTCTTTCTACTTATGCCACGGTTGTTAGATGCAGGCGACAAATTCCTACCTTCCTGGTAGCCAAAAGACAGTCAAGTGGGCACCCGAGATGATGATGCTCTTCTGGGAAGCTTTACAATGCAATAGGCGATTCAGATCATTCATCATCGACTCCAACCGCTCGCACGACTTCGTCATTCTTTGTATCTTCTATGCTATTGTATACAAATCCGACCCTTCACAGCAAGGTGTGGTCAGGATGTGTATTTTCATTACACAGACCATGAGCGTCGAGCCCAATTTCGGGAAGAGTCTGAACAAGAAATTCGAAGCTCAAGAGACGCTTCCACAAAGCATTCGTATTCCTGGTTTCAAGGGATCATATGCCGATTACTTGATCATGGTTTGTCAAATACTATTCTTCAAATTGACTTGTTTAACTGACATCAAGCAGTCCGTTCATACTCTAATCACCGGAAGCAAAGGACAATTAACCGCTGTCTACCCCGCGCTTCTAGCAATCATCAATAACATAGCTGCATACGTCGAAAATCTGTCCCCAGCTGCATGCTCCAAACTTTTGCAACTCTTCTCGTCAATGTCTGCCCCCAGCTTCCTCCTGGCTAACGAGACGAATCATACCCTTCTTTCCTCAGTACTTGAGTCGATCAACGCGCTTCTCGAACATCAATTTACCAGTATGTGGTATCTTTGCTGTGTCTCTCTCCAAAAAGTTGCTAACCTTGGCAGAAAACCCGTTCCTGGTGTACGCTATTCTTAAGCACAGGAGACGTTTTGAGGCAGTTCGAGAATTTACGCTTGAGAGTGGACAGCAGGAGATAGAACGCCAAAATGAGAGACGAAAATCGGAAGGCGGGTCTTACGATTTTGTTTCCAGCCCGGTTCTGTCGGCGTCTGAAGATGATCCTCACACAGCTTCTGGCGCGCGGTCACCGTTGGGTCGCATTCCCGAAGAACACAGTCCGTTCGCAATTGGTGGGGACGATTCAGATGACGAGCGAGAAGAGCAAAAGACTCCAGCGCAATCGTCGCCGTCTGTTCAGAGTTCTCGCAGACCTTCAATTTCATCTGCTGTCGATGAAAGTGTACCACTACAGCTACGGGGAATGTCCGAAAAAGCACGGGGTAAAATGCCTGCTGGACAGCCATCCTTTTCTAGGCAAAATAGTATGACCAGTCAGAGTAGTATGTCAGCAGCCTTCCCAACGGCTCCCAATGGTTTCACGCCAACTGTAGCCTGGGTAAGCAATCCTCCATTTCCCGCACATCGATCAGCCTACTGACGGCAGAATGTTCAGCTTGAGTCCTGGCTCCCAGATCTACCACTCCATACTATTCTTACTGTCATTTCAGCGATTATGCCCCACATCCCTGAGTCCGCTTTACAGAGCACTTCTAGCCCGGAAGCCCGGACTCTAATCACGAATCTTCCCTCATTCGCGGAAGAACCAATGATCCAAAGTATCATTTCAGAGCCCCCTCCCACCCGTGTACATTCCTTTGAATGGTCAGCCCTCTCCATGGGCTGGTATGAATCCTTACTGTGGGGATTCATCTTCTCGAGTGAGATGGTCGTTGGCTCCGCTTCGGGCGCCACGCCAGGTACCGTTGGAGTGTGGAATGGAACCAGTATCAAACTGTTCAAGGTCCAAGAGGCTGCAGCGCAAGGACCCACGTTACTTGCTCCAAAGGGTGCAGTGGACGCCGTCGGTAGTAACTTGGTTCAACGAATTGGGAACCTGAGCCTCCGGAGGGCCAGCGCGCAGGATTCTCAGAACAGTTCCAGGGCTCCATCTGTTCGGGAGGTCTAATATGGTGTTTCCTAACACTCTTGTGTTTTTCTAGCAGGTTGAATCAGTGTCGTCGCGTTATTATAAAGAGCTGAGCTTGTTTTCCAATGATCTTATTCATGTTCATCCTTAATGATACCTTGGTGGCGTTTGCAATCAAACATGTTTTCTTATGAACACCCATTGGGTATATAGAAGTGCTAGCCTCTTCAATATTATATCGCTCTGCTTAGTCTTTCCTTTTTCTTTTTTCTTGCGCCAAGATTTGGAAGTTCACATTTCTATCTATATTTTCTTAGTAGCCCGTGACTCAATTGTAATGTCAGGACCATTGTTCCGGGCTGCAGGGAAAGAGATGAGTTTGGAATCTAGGGTCTGACTATGAATCTGTAAATATCTTCAATAGTCTTGTGCAAAATTGCCGTCCTTTTATTCGAGGGTTGGGGTGTATGTTGTTGGCCACGTGAGGTCGTGATTGGCTGCGGACCACTTCCCAACACGTCGGACGCCTACTCCGAGTAAACATTTATTGAACAACCTGTGTAAACTTTCGTATCCTACAAATAAGCCATCTAGTACATTTTGCGGAAGTTATTTGCTTGTTTTTGTCTTTTCTTGATTTCTTCTATTAGCCTAAAGAGAGCTGTCAGCAGATGAACATGATTCTTTCCCTGCCCTTCCTTGTCGCCGCATCCGCAGCGCTCCTATCCCCGGGACTGGCTGCTGGATTTTCAACTGAGCTTCAGAGTGTACTGAAGAACACACATGGTGGCAATGAATATGGATACCCTACTGATTTTACCAGGGGGATAATGCCTGTAAGTTCATCTCAAATTACTCTACTATGGAGGGACATTTTGTCAGAGGGTATGATCGAGGTGTTTGGAAACTTTCTGATCAAGACTACTTCAGATACCAGTCCACTCCCACAAGTAAGCCACAGCCCTTTCTTTCTCTCTTTCTTTTTTTTCCTTTTGTTTGTTCTTTCTCTTTCTCATTGCTATAATATAAGTAATTAGTAACCAAACCGTGGCAGCGATTACTGGAGAGACATTCCCTTCTACACTGGTATGGCCAATCTACATTTCCTTGAGGAAGCAAGGCTAACGTAATTCAGGTCTCTCCAAGGGCTGTGTTTCAACAGAAGCTGATGTATGGCTTTATAACGGTACACTTTATGTTAGTGCTATGATTGATGCCTAGCTCTATATGAGTGACGCCCACTAACGCCCACAGGTCGGGCACGATGAATCCTCCTTGACTGAGGAGCGAACCTTTGAGTCCCTCTATGTCAATCCAATGCTAGATGTGCTGAAACGCCAAAACCCCCAAACTCGTTTTGTGACTTCACCCACCAAAAAGTGAGTTTGATGAAGTAGCCTTGCTATTTCTCCTGCTTGTGGGTATTAACATTGTACTAGCGGCGTCTTTGACACTACTATTTCGCAAACCCTTTACTTTTTTGTCGATGTAAAAACGTCAGGACCTGAAACATTCGAAGCTGTTATCTCTGCATTAGAGCCACTCCGCAAAGAGGGCTATCTAACCACACTGAAAGACAACAAGACGATGACTAGTGGTCCCATAACTATCATCGGAACAGGCAATACGCCTTTTGATATGGTTGGACCGGTTGCTAATCGCGACTACTTCTTCGATGCTCACCTAGATGCGCTAGAGGAAAGTCCTGAGATCACGTCCATAATCTCTCCTATTGCATCAACTAGCTTCCAAGAGGCTGTGGGCTCAGTCACATATAGGGAGGATGATGCTGTTCTGAGCGACAAGCAGCTGGCTACTCTGCGATCCCAGATTAGTACTGCAAAGGAGAGGGGGATTGGTGCTAGATATTGGGAGACTCCTTATTATCCGATCCGAACTCGTAATGCCGTATGGCGGACGCTTCTCCAGGAAGGTGTGGCTTTGTTGAATGCTGATGACCTGGATGCTGTTGCGGCTTACTTCTAATTGTACATTACATACATATCCACATAATATGCCATCCAGACATAAAATTGTGAGTACATCGAACATAAAGTGGTTTCAATGGCGATAGTCATCGTAGTTCTCAAATAGAAATTCGGCTATCAAGACTACGGGTGATGTGGCCGGTAAAGCGTCATGGAACGGAGTACATGACAGAATCTCACTATCTTATCACAGATGTGACGAAAAAGTACACAGTTTCCCTGACGATCAGCTGAAAAAGGGCCTGTCCGCTGCACGTGACTGTCCGTGAGGCTTCTGGACCAAAGGAAAAATAGATCATGAAAGGGGAAAGCAAAGAGATGAATAGGAAAAATAACGCGCGACTATTAATTCAGATCCCTGTCTTTATATGAAGCCTATAGTCTAGTTCTCAACAGACCCGATGTCTAAGGTCGATGTTGATCTGGGAGATCTCTTGGCTAAGGTGCTCCCCACCGGTGTCAAGGTCACCATTCGCCATATCTCGTCAGCCCCTACCCCATGCACAGCGCTCTTTGCGCCTCCTCCAGGGGAAGAGCCCGAGTCGACGTTTTGTGAAAACCATTTTCTGACGGTCTCCGTTAATTCCGTGGAGCATGATGGATCCGAGATTATCGTCTTTGGAATCGAAGTTCTGGTCTACAGCACAGCGCATCTAACGACTGTTTTCGTCTCCAAGGCCGATTCTACTGGATTCCTGTATTTACTGAAGGATGCACCGAAAGTTTCGCTCATCAGGCGCATTTCTAACGGCTTCCTGTCTTTCCTGGTACAAACACATCAACGGCCGGGCGTTCGGCTAGTGGTGTCATTGTTCGCTCGGGCTCAGAACCAGTATCTGTTCCCAGGCAGCATCGAAAATTCAGGAAAGCATGTTCTCGACGATAGGGGTCTGATCAAATGGTGGTGTCGCGTTATCGACGCCATATTGCGCGAGTATGAGCCGGAATCAGGATCCCACGAGAAAGGTCTCCTTGATCGTGCCATGGAATCCGCTAAAAGCTCTGCAACAGCATTCTTGATTGTCCCAGGATGCGACAAATTTGAAACTCGAGGGTTCTTCCCCGGTGCCGCAAAGTCAGATGATAAAGAACGCCCCAGGTGGCTGAACAACTATCCACTTCATCAGCTGTGCGACAACGCCAACGCGCCTCCGCGCTGCTTAATTCCTCGTTTTCCAGATGATCCGAAAACGCGCTTCCTCGTTGACCTAGATGACGAGCTCCCGCAGCAATCAGAGCTTACGGACTCGAAGGAGGGCGCTGGGCAGTGGAGGAGCGTCAAATCTCTAGACCAGTTCTGGGAGATGATGTCTTTTCGGCAGGAGTGCTCTGCTGGGCGACTGGTCGGATTCTTGTGGCTTGTTATTAATCCTCCAGGGCTTGTCAATTCGGTTCAAATGACAAGCTCCAGACCTGTTTTCAAAGAGAAAGCAGAGGGTTCCTCGACAACGGCCGTCCCGGGATCTGACAAGGTGGATTCAGAACCTACCGGGTCAGAAGAACCTACTTCTATTGATTCCCAGTCTTCAGATGCTGCCAAAGATTCTATAGCAGAGGCAACGACAGGTGGTCCTGTGCAAGACCCATCTTCCCAGGCAGGCAGCTTATCTTCTGAGACCCATCCCAAAATACAGCCGAACACAGACCTGAACGCATTCTACTGGCCAGAAGCAGGCCGCGGTCACGCTGTTATGAGTGAAGAAGATTACAAAACCGCGATCAATTTCCTACTTGGGCAAGACTTCTACAACCAAGAGGTTTCTATAGCCAGCACTAAGGCGTGGAGTGAGAAAGTCGCATCCATCGTGGACCAGCTTTGGGTCGGTCAGCAGGTCACAGGAAGGAACACATCTGGAGAATCTTTCGATAAACCTGCCCCAACAACAAATATCATCAACACTGGATTGGTTCGAAAGCGAAAGAAAGACGAACAGAGCCAAGCAACAACAGCAGCAACAGCACAAAATGAAGGGCGAGAGGGGACCGGTACGGTCTCAGGTGCGGTGGCAGCAGAGACTAGTACAACAGGGGCGAATGTATCACCTGGAGTCAATGTGCTTCAAGCAAACTTGATCCGGAAGAAGAAGAAGGCTTAGATCAGACAGCGGATGCTTTTCGCATTGGTTGGAGTTGTAAACGGAATTATAGGACATTCAGCGATTTGGGGTCTTCTATTTGGGAAAACAGGGCCATTAAAAGGTATATTCAAAACAGTGCTTGGTCTTTGGACATTTGTCTTCTTCTTGATACTATTCTTGGATCTATCGCTATCTGGGAGATTTAGATCCGCGGACCGTGGAACCGATAAATGACAGTGAACGGGCCACATGGAACTAAATACCAGAAGTGGCTGATTCGATTCCTTGAAGCGTGTAAATATGGATTTGGTTTCGTATTGATTTTAATTCTTCCTCTGAATATCTTCCCCTTTGATTTCACACAATCATATCGGGCCTGCTATCCTATGTAAGAACAAACTCGAAATAAGAGAGAGCTCGTTCGACGCGGCTCCACGGAAGGGGTGAAAATACAGGAATCCACCGCATGATGAACCGACCCATATAATGGACGCCGTCCGCTGCATCCGAATGGAACAACCACGGAACTAATTTAGTTCATACCTTTTCCCAGTTCGGCTGTTGCGTGGCAGCCACCAGGGGCAAAAAAAAAAAAAGCAAAGGCTGAACGTTGAAACACCGTCGAGTGTTAAGGCCACCTGCAACGAGTCAACTGACCGCAATTGCTCTCCGCACTTCATTTCTCTAACTTCCCGTCCATAGAATGTTGTTGCGACGTTGACTACATCTTTTCTTTGCCAACTGTATTGCCTCTTACCGCGTCGATATCCGCCTATGCTAAAGCTTCAATCGCGTTCGATTTCCCTCGATTTTGGACCGACCATTAGCAATGGCGGGCTCCGGTGGTCTGTGATCGTGGGTTGGGGGTGTCTGATCTGGTATACAACCGTGGTCTCGGTCTGCTATCTGGGGTACTTCCAAATGTAAAACTTTCTATTCCGCCTTTTATTCCCTTTTCTGGGTTATGTTCTATTTTCTATTGGGTGTATTCGAATACATGCTTACTGTGGCACAAACTAATGCGGCTTCAAACAGATGGCGATACTTTCTCCAAAGACCCCGGAAATCCCACTCCGCGACTGCCTCCGACGCTCCCCATGTCACCGCAATACGACCCGTCAAAGGTCTCGAGCCGAATCTGTATGATTGTCTAGCTTCGACTTTCCGTCAGGACTATCCAGCCGACAAACTGACCGTCTATTTCTGTGTCGCATCTCGAAGCGACCCTGGCTACCCAACCCTGCAAAAGCTTGTATCCGATTTCCCACACGCCGGTGCACGCATTTTTATCGAGGAAGAGGATCCTTTGCTCCAGCCTGATGGGGAACGTATCTACAACCTGGGACCAAATCCGAAGATTCGGAACATGAGCAGGGCTTATAGAGAGGCCAAGGGTGATATTGTCTGGATCATAGATTGCAATGTTTGGGTAGGCAAAGGTGTCTGTGGGAGGATGGTCGACCGGCTTTGCGGGCTTGGTGCAACTTCAGGCAAAAAGTACAAATTTGTACATCACTTGCCGCTTGTAGTTGATGTCACTAGCGATGCCAGTTTGACAGAAGAGCAGAGTGCACTGGTAGAATCTTATACCAACGGCGATGCAGATCCAAGCGGCGATGTGTCCTCAGCACCAACTATCTCCAATCACGAACAGGGTACTCTTGCAACAGGTGGAGGCTGCCTAGAAGAATTGTTCCTTTCGTCTTCTCATGCAAAAATGTACACCGCAATCAACACAGTCCTCATCGCACCCTGTATCGTGGGCAAATCCAACATGTTCCGGCGGTCGCACCTCGACTATCTGACGACGTCCTCTACCGATCCCCACAAGCGCAACCCTGGTATCGATTACTTTTCCGACAATATTTGCGAGGATCATCTGATTGGGGACCTTCTCTGGAAGAATCGCGTCCGCGAGGAGAAAGAGAACGGCGAGCGTTTTGGCAAGCACGGCATGGTCTTTGGAGATCTGGCGATCCAGCCTGTGGGAAACATGAGTGTTGGGGATTACATCGCACGCCGGGTTCGCTGGCTACGAGTCCGCAAGTTCACTGTTCTCCTAGCGACCTTAGTCGAGCCGGGCACAGAATCCTTGCTATGTTCATGTTATGGCGCCTGGGGAGTGACGACGTCCTTGGCACAATTCCTCCAAGGAAAAGGGTTCTATTGTGCAACTTATATGACCACATGGGCTGCCTTCTTCGCCTTTTTCTTCCTCAGCTTGGCCATCTGGATACTGACCGATTGGACGCTGTATATTAAATTGCATTCCGCAAAATCGGTTGAACTCGATGAGGACACGCCACCCTTTGCACGGCCTCCGTCTCACCGTTTAACTAGACGAACATTCCTTCAGTGGTTCTCGGCGTGGCTTGGACGCGAGTTCCTAGCCCTCCCCATATGGATCTGGGCCTTCTACGGTGGCGTAACCGTAACTTGGCGCAACCGGCGATTCCGAGTCGGACTAGACATGAAAGTTCGAGAAATTGGCAGTGACAAGACACCCCTGCCCGACTCTAAACAAGCCCCAGCCAGTCAAGGGAACTAAACGATAGACAGTATGGGACATGGCAAGCTGAGAAAACGAGGGACGAGGAATGAGGGACGAATGTACGAATATCACTGAAAGAAATTGGGGGAAAAAAAACAAGAACTTTTCTATCCAGTTCCCACACATCTATAGAAGTCCATAAAAGCGTAAATCATTACATCGATCCCTCCGCAGCAGCCGGAGCATTCTCCCCAGCACCGCTCTCCAACTCACTACCCTTCTCTGAACTCAACAACCACTCCGCAACCTGTCTACCCTTGGACATCTTCCCAGCATCGTCTTCACCCTCTTGTGCCTCTGCCTCTACTTCAGCCTCAGCCTCCGCCTCATCCTGCTCCTCACCCTGCTCCTCAGTCGACCAATCAGCCC